ACCACTGAGCCACATCCCCATCCCTTTTTTATTATTTAGAGACAGGGTCTCGTTGAGTTCCTCAGGAATTTGCTCAGTTGCTGAGGTTGGCTTTGAACTTGTGATCCTCCTGCCTCAGCCTCCTGAGCTGCTGAGATTATAGGATTACACCACCTCAACCGGTATTCAAGGGGATTTCTTGAGCCCAGGAGCTCAAGACCAGCCTGGGAAGTTTAGTAATAATCTGTCTCAAAAAACAAAAACAAAACAGCAAGTTCCAGAGACACAGGCGCACACACTCCAGGGGAGGACACTAGGCAGAGGTGGGAGCCTCTTAGGGTTCATCCTCCAAGATAAGAAAGAGGAGATAGGGGTGTTTGCCAGTTGCCATAGGCAGTATAGTGGGCAAGGAAGGAATCCAGAGAGAGTGAGAACTGGGTCAGGGCAAGGAAGTACTGAGCACTTGAGGACTAGGACTTAGTACAGGATGGTACAGTGACAGGAGAAGGGCTTGGGCTGGGGAAGAAGTTGATGGAAATTGGGTTCTCTCCTTTTCTGTGCCATACATACTATGAAAAAGAAACCTGCTTGCTTATAAAAAAAAAAGTGCATTAAATAGGTTAGTTTTGTTAGCTATGTATTGATTCTATGCCCTCCAAAACCTGGCTTTTTTAAGGAGCAGATGTTTAAAGTGCATACACAGGGACCGTCTGAGAGGAATCCTGAAGATAACAGCAAGAAATGAAATGACAGCTCCAATCTCCAGTCTGAGATACGGAGGAGAGTCTGAAAACGGAGATTGCTCCTGGAGAGGGGAGCCAGCCAACGCTGACACTTTGAAATTGGAATCAAAGCCTGGTGAATTCAACAGAGTGGGGTGAAATGAAATTGTGTGACTGTCAATAAAATGACCAGAGGATGATGGTGGATAAGACATAAAAAGATTCAAAAGTGCAGCCCTGGCCAGGGAGTCTGGGATCTAAGTGAATATCTATCTTTTTATGTCATAGAAAAGTTCATTAATATTGTCACTAAAATGTACAGAGGCTGGGGCTGTAGCTCAGTGGTAGACCCCTTGTCTGGGATCTGCAAGGGTCTGAGTTTGATCCCAGCACTGCAAAACAAGGGGCAGACTTGGGGTGGAAGCTGATGGAAATGGGGTTCTCTCCTTTTTCTCTGCCATACATACTATGAAAAAATGAACACAAAATGAAAAATTCCTAAGGCAGGATAATATTTCAGAGGACTTAATAGAGGGGCTGGGGCTGTAGCTCAGTGGTAGATTACTTGTCTAGCATGTGTGAGGCCCTGGGTTCGATCCTCAGCACTGCATAAAAATAAATAAATCAATAAAGATATAGTATCCATCTACAACTAAAAATAAGTAAATAAATAAAATGAAACGAAAGCATGCTGTCCATCTACAATGACAAAAAAAAATATTAAACAACAACAACAACAAAAAGGACTTACTAGAGCTGGAATCAAATCACACACAACAATGCAAACTCATTTCCCAGCTTTCTCCCAAGATTAGACTAGAAGTGGTGATCCCTGCCTTTGGTTCTCATGTGGATAACGTGATTCCCATGACAAGTGCCCAGATATTGGTCCCTAATAGCATTCACCACTTAAAGATACAAGGTCTCTTTGGAGAGCAGCTGATTCCATTTCTTAGCACAAAAAAAATCAAAGTAAATCTGCTAGCTGATGCCAGAAGCACGTGAGAATCTAAAGATTTTTGAGGTAGTGTTAAAAGGAAAAGGGACACAGCCAAAAACAAAACAGAAAAAGCAAAGCTGAAACTATCTGAGTATCAAAAATAAAACAAAAATTTTGTAAAAATCCTGAGTCTGTAATGACAACAAAGATGGGTTACTCTAAAAAGAGGCATGTTTGAGTTCCCCAAAATGTCCACTGTTCAAATAATATACATACCTGTGTTAATCAGTTTTCCATTACTGTAACAATTACCTGAGATAAATCAATTTATAAAGAAGAAAGTTTTATTTGGCCTCAACATTTTGAGGTTTCAGTCTATGACCAATTGGCCACATTGCTTCTGGACCTGTAGCGGTACATCATGGTGGCAATGTGTGTCAGAAAGCCTGTTTACCACATGACCAGGACTCAAAAGCAGAAACACTGGAGTCCCACAAAGCCCCTGAGAGCTTGCTACCAAAGGCCTAAACTTCCCATTAGGCCACACTTCTTAAACAGCACTAACCCCACCACTCTGGGGAACAAGCCTTTAATGCATAGGCCTCTGGGGACATTCCAAATAAATACAATAATAATACCATAGTTAAGTACAGTGTTTTGTTTGTTTGTTGTGCAGTACTAGAGATTGAACCCAGGGACTCTTTACAACTTGGCTATATCCCCAGCCCTTCTTATTTTTTTTTAAGACAAGATCTTGCTAAATTGCCCAATCTAGCCTCCAGCTTGCAATCCTCCTGCCTCAGCCTCCTGAATCACTGGGATTATTGTGGGCCACTGTGCCCAGCCATAGCCAAGCTTTGTTTAATTATTAAGCTGTGAATTTCTGAATTTCTGGTACCTGAAGTCTGCAATGAGATTTAAGGGATACCCAGAGGTAAGAGATGAACTGGGCTGCATTAAAAAAGAAGTGGCAGGCTGCGTGTGCTGGTATATACCTGTAATCCCAGTGATTTGGGAGGCTGAGGCTGGGAATAGCAAGTTCTAGGCCTCAGAAACTTAGTGAGGCCCTCAGCAACTTAGCAAGACTCTGTCTCAAAATAAAAATATATAAAGGGCTGGGATGTGGCTCAGTGGCTGAGCACCCCTGGGTTCAATACCTGTCACACACACACACAAAAAGAAGTGGCAAGCAAAATTGACCAGTGGAAGCTGAACCCACTCTTAACTGCAGGCACACCCAGACCCTGTTCCCATACTCAGTGTCCAATCTCCAAGTGATTCTCTAAACTGGAATTTATGACTCTAATCTGGAACCAAATTCCTAAACCCTAAATTTGTTTTGGGGGCAGGGTGGTTCTGGGGATCCAACACTGGTCCTCACACACACTAAGAGTGTGCTCTACCACTGAGCTATACCCCATGCCTCTAAATCTTAAATTTAGGCTGATTGCTTAAATAAAATATAAAGATGATGAATGACCCAGATGTATAGATAGGTTTAAGGTTTTCAATACAGTACTGAAGGAGGTGATTTGTATAGTATCTACTGTTTGTTTGTTGTTGTTTTTTTTAAGTTGAGATAAAATTCACATAAGATTCACCATTCACCATTAACTGGAAAATTTTTTGATCTGCTTTTTAAAGTACTAGAAAAGTATAAAAGCATGTGACACGAGACTTATGATGTTAATTTATTATTTAGATAGATTAAGTTTGATGGTCATATATGTAAACAAATCTAGTGAAATCTATAAACTAAGATCATGTTTTGTGAATAATTTCTAAATTCTTAGTATTAAGTGCTTAGTGTCTAAGATTTTGTTAGATGTAAGTCGGCCTTAGATGTCAGATGTGAAATGTTTGAGGTGCTCAATTATGGTTTAAACAGTCTAAGATAATTTAATTAATCAAGCTTGTAATATTAAATGTTTAGAGAATTCATGATCGAATTGAGCTTTAATCAAGGAAAAGTGAAAGAGATTTAACATAAAAACACTAGCCTGACCCGGCCACCATGGCGCACCTCTGTAATCCCAGCGGCTCAGGAGGCTGAGGAAGGAGGATCAAAAGTTCAAAGCCAGCCTCACTGGTTCAGTGGTTGAGTGCCCCCTGAGTATAATCCCCAGTCCCCCCCAAAAAAATTTAAAAAAAATACTAGTTTGAAGAACAAAGAAACAAGATACATACGTTGAACTTAATAAAACTAGTCCTTAAAAGTTATATCTTCAATAAATTGAAAAAAAATACTGAAAATATACAAGTAACTTCAATCAATTTTCCATACATAAAAGTTCCGATTAGGGGCTGGGGTTATAGCTCAGTGGTAGAGCGCTTGCCTCGCACATGTGAGGCGCTGGGTTCGATCCTCAGCACCCCACAAAAAAATAAATTAAATAAAGATATTGTGTCCATATTTTTAAAAGTCTTTTTAAAAATAGTTCCATTCAGACATTAAAAATTCAATTGACAGTGACTTAGTAGTTTGTTTGTTCCTTTGTTTTATTTTTGGTACCAACTATTCAACCCAAGGGTTCTTACCCACTGAACCATATTCCCAACCCTTTGTAATATTTTATTTTGAGGTAGGGTCTTGCTCAGTTGCTTAGGGTCTCAGTAAGTTGCTGAGGCTGGCTTTGAACTCGAGATCCCTCTGCCTCAGCCTCCCCAGCTGCTGGAATTATAGGCCTATGCCACCACACCCAGCTGATTTATATTGGCTTAGTTTCTAAGCCAATATAAAAGTATAGACTTGGGGTGGAGGGTGTGGCTCAGTGGAAGGAGGCTTACCTAGCATGTGTAAGGCCCTGGGTTCCATCCCCAACTCCCATCCCCCAAAAAGTATAGAATGATATTTATTTGTTGAAACTTGGACAGTTGGAAAGATTGCAAATCAAATTAAAAGAAAGTGTCTCTTTGGAATATAATTTTGTGTATTCAACTTTATTGTATTTTGTGTAAAGAGAAAAGTAATCAGTTTTTGTTTTTTTTTTTAATAATTCTGCTCAAATATATACCTTTCCCAGGGAAGGAAGTGCTGTGTGTCTACCCCAACCCCCTTCTCATCTCCAAGAAAGGGGAATAACCCTGGATTGATAAGCTCAGACTGAGGGACGGAGCTTTACTCTGCACTTGGTCAAAAACTCCAGTCCTGCTGCTTACCAGACTCCATTGAAATAGAAATAGAAATCGCCCGCACACTGGGATTTCACCAGGCTGGGGTGGGCGGGGTGAGAGCTTGCCTGTCCAGTGGGTTCCAGGATGGTGCCCTGCTGCTGTCTGGAGCACACTCTGAGGCCAGAAGCAGTGCTCTTCACATGTGACTCTCTGGCACGGGCTGCCCCCCTCCCTGCCCCACTTACAGCTCAAGGGCAGGGACTTTGGACGTCTTCACTGCTGCATCCTCCGCAGCTAGAACAGTGCCAGATGCTTCCCAGGGGCTCAGGAAGGGTTTCCAGGATGAAAGCAGCTCGTCTGGGTGCTGAGCATTCACGCCAGCACCAGACTGGAGCTCCGCAGTGGTGGCCAAGTCCTAGGGGGAAAGACAGTGATGAGTGCCTTGCTAACCCTCCTTTGTACTCCTCCCTCACAGGAGGGGTACCTGGGGCCTTGGGCAGGACTCAGGTCTTCCTGTGGCCCTTGCCGTAATCCCACCTCAACGCCACTGTCATCTCTGGCCTGATCATGGGGTTCCGCAGAGCCCCAGACCAGAGAGTGTTCCTCATGGAAGGCCATGGGTGGACATAAAATCAGAGGAGGGGACACTGCAGAGGGCTAACGAACAAAATCTGGAGGCCCATAAAGCCACAAGGGGAATGTGACGAGTTGCCAAACCAGAGAGAGCAGAAGCAAATATCAAAGCCAGGGAGCACAGCCAGGAATCCCAGATCCAGGGAGATGAGAGAGCAAGTGGGCAGATTATAACTGGGGAGGGGCCGGGGCTCCCTGGGGCAGGCATCTGAGGCTTGCTTTAATCTGCCTCCAGGGGTGGGGCGGGAGTGGGTCAGGCAAGATTAAAGGGGGCCATGGGTGGGCTGGACAGAATGGTATTTTCTGGGGGTTCTTACTTTTCCAGAGCTGAACACTGGGGGGTCTCAGAAGCCTGGAGGCTGTCTTCAAGCCCAGCTTCCACATGCTGGCTGAGTCACCTTGAGCAAGTTTCTTAAAAGGAACCTCACCTTCGATTGCTGTCAGGACGGTGCAGACCCTGCATAAGCAGCTCAAGTGAGAAATCTGCACATCCCCAGCCATCTCCAAATGATACTTGGCATCCACCAGCCACGGAGGGTCTGCGTCAGGACTGGTGGGGATTTCGAGAAAGGAGTTGGAAAGAAGTCAGCCAAAGTAGTTACTGAAGAAGAAAAGCAGGATGAGAGGACCGTGCCAAACCCCGCTGTTCCCAGCCCGGCCTCTGAGGAGGGGAACTGCAAAGAGAAGCAGATCCCTTTGATACCAAGAAAGCATTTCTATGGTCACAAGACACTCAGCAGACTCAGGCTGAACATCTGATGACTCCCGATTACTTCTAAAAACGGGACGGCTGGCTGGCCAGCGGGCAGGCCCACTCTCCCCCCCTCCAGTGGGGTGGCTGTCTAATGTTTACTTCCCTTTATTCTCCACAATCTCCTGTGCCCCACGTCACCCCTGCAGAAACAAAACTGTTTTACCTTAAAGATGAGAAACCATGGATTTTCTCACCAAAAAATATTTTCTGCCTTCTTTCCCATAGGGCAGGAGAGTGGAACCCAGGGCTCATGCACGCGAGACAAGCACTCAACCACTGAGCCACCCTCCAGCCTCCAAAAGGTTTTCTTCTTACTTTCAGGACTGTCCAGGATCTTGGGGGCCAGCTCTCCACTCCCCCACCCAGCATCAGGCAGACTCAGCCTGTTCACAACCTGCCCTCCACCTGCACTCACGAGCACTGCTGAGAGTCAGGGGTCCAGGTTGAAGAAGATCTGCAGCTTAGTAATCAGGTAACACAAGGTAGTGATTTCTTTGTGCCTCAGTTTCTTCACCTATGTGAAAAGAATGCACATGCAAAACTGCACATGCCACACAACAAAGTGGATTTGAAAGTGCTTTGTAAACTGAAAAGTGCTGTCCAGAGTTGGGGGTGGTGCACACCTGTAATCCCAGTGAAGTCTGAGGTCGAAGACTCACAAGTTCAAAGCCAGCCTCAGCAAATTAGCAAGGCCCAAAGCAACTGAGTGAAACACTGTCTCAAAATAAAAAATCAAAAGGGCTGGGAATGTGGCTCAGTGGTAAAACACCCCTGGATTCAATACCCAGTACTCTGTGTGTGTGTGTGTGTGTGTGTGTGTGTGTGTGTGTGTGTGTGTGTGTGTTAGGGGTAGCTTTTTTTTTTTTTTAGTTTTTATTACAGCTGTTCATGCCTTAAATGTTATGCCTCTGAATTGTTGCCAGATCCTATGATGGGTACTGGTTAGAATTAAGTTTGCTAATTACAGAAAATCAAAGTAAAAGTAACAAAAAACAAGAGAGTAGTTAATTTTTCTCTCATGTGAAATCTGTCTGGAGCTTTATGGTACTCCATGGTATCAAGGACTCAAAAGCCTTTTTTAATATTTATTTTTTAGGTGTAGTTGGATACAGTGCCTTTGTCTTATTTATTTATTTTTATGTGGTGCTGAGGATGGAACCCAGGGCCTCGCACAGGTCAAGAGCTTTTTTATTGTATTGATTTTCCGTGGGTAGCTGCCATTCCTAAGGTCATGATCCAAAAATGGCCACACAAAATCCAGGCATTACATCACATTCCCATCAACCCCTGAGGAGTCAAGAAGAATATGCCTCTTCCCTTTGCAGACACTTCTGGAAATTGCATTTCCGCTTTCTTCCAATGGCTGAACTTAGTCCCGTGACCACATCTAAGAGCGCTGTGATTTTCAATCTGTGTGACCATGTGCTCAGCTAAAAATAGAGGATCTTATCACCCAGAAGAAGGGAAAACCAGGGGGTTTCTATCACATGTGGCCCCTTCTCCATTGTTGTTTTAATCTTGTCAGTAGCATTTGACCTCTCTTCCTATAAACTCTTTTGTATACCACTGAGAACAAAAACACGCTCTCTGGGCTGGGGATGTGGCTCAAGCGGTAGCGCGCTCGCCTGGCATGTCTGTGGCCCCGGGTTCGATCCTCAGCACCACATACCAACAAAGATGTTGTGTCCGCCGAGAACTAAAAAATAAATATTAAAAAAATTAAAAAAAGAAAAAAACACGCTCTCTTGGGTTGTGGCTGTAGCTCAGTTGGTAGAAGGCCCTGAGTTTGCTCTCCAGCACCAAACAAACAAAAAAAAACACACACACTCTCTCTCTTGCTTTTCCTCTCTCTCTTGCTTTTCCTCCTCCTATTTTCTATCCATAAATATTTAAATGTCTCAACAGGATCCTGGCAACACTTTCTCTTCTCTGGCCATACTCTCCTCTCCTCCTAAGTAATCTCATTTACTCCCAAGAATTTAAACACCACTCTGGATGCCAGAGAATCCCAAATCTAGCCCTCATGGCTCACCTTCATTCCAGGGTTGTATGTCCAGCGGCTGTTTGTAATCTCCACTTGGGCGACTCAATCTTTACTCCTCATCTCCATCCACAGACTTGTTCCTCTCTAAGTCTTTTTTCTCTTGGTAAATGGCACCAGTGAATTGAACCAGGAATGTTGGAATTGGTCTAAATTCCTTACTTTCTTCTACTTCTCCATCCAAGTTCTCAGGGAGTCATGGTGCATCTGCCTGGACAATTCTCAGGGTCATCTGCTTTCTTCCACCTGCACCACTGCACTTCTGCAGCAGCACCAGCACCAGCACGTCTCTCCTGGAACTGCCGCAGCAGCCTCATCCAGCCTCCCCTCATCCATTCCTGCCCTCCCATAGCCCAGCTCCACGGCAGTGAGCGCAGTAGTCTAAGTAAGTGAATCAAAGATGGTGGATTCAGCCAGGCACAGTGGCACATGCCCGTAATCCCAGCAGCTTGGGAGGCTGAGGCAGGAGGATCACAGGTTTCAAGCCAGCCTCAGCAACTTAGTTAGGCTGTAAGCAACCTAATGAGACCCTATCTCTAAATAAAAAAATAAAAAGGACTGGGGATGGCTTAGTGGTTAAGCACCTTTGGGTCCAACCCCAGTATGAAAAACAAACAAGATGGTGGAGTCAACACATATGTACTCTGTGCCCTCTTGCAACATTTCTGAGATGACCATAAAGGGGCTATTTGTTTGTTTGGTATACACCGTACATTTATTAGTGAACATCCCTCCAAAATCAGAAACAATATTTAAAAAAAAAATGATGGCACTACTTGGTCAAGCAGAACTGGCAACTTTCATTTTTTTAAAAAAGTACAAATCTGGGCTGTGGCTGTGGCTCAGAAGTAGAGCACTTGCCTAGCACACACGAGGCTCTGGGTTCGATCCTCAGCACCACATAAAAATAAATAAATAAATAAAATAAACGCATTGTGTCCAACTACACCTTAAAAATAAATGTTTTTAAAAAGTACAAATCTGTTAAAAATTTCAATCAGTGTGGGAGACCAACCTCACAGGTGACTGAGTTAACTCCCCTGCTGGGCGAAGTGGCACCCACGCTGCTAGACTGCCCTACTCTTCTAGGGTTTGAGTGACTGTGTTTTCGTGCCCAGGTGTGTCTTGCTACAGCCCCATGGGTGGAGCTACGCTCTCCTGTTCCTTTGTAATAGAACCCCTTGCCCTGTTTAGGACAGAATCTTCCATGGAAGTGCCTGTGTGTGTCCCCTCCTCTTACTGTGCCCTTGGGTGTGGCATACCCAGGTGTCAGTCAACCTGCTGACAGTGGACATCATGAAGATAGACTCAGCCCCTGAAACCTGACCCCTTGCCTCATTTGAATAGCTTCTCCTGAATAAAAGGGGTCAGCGCGTGCTCTCGCGATCTCTCTCTTCCTGTGGACCCTTAAGGTCAGAGGAGCCCTCACAGCGACCCCAAAGAAAAAGGTACTTGTGTCTCTTGTGTGGTTATTTTGTGCAGCCCAGTTAGCCCAGTTTACCTGGAGTGACCCCCGAGCCTTTTAGTCGCAAACAGAAACCTGGCAAGTCAGTATACATATATATGTAAAATATAACATACTAGTTATGTTCAATGCTACAACCCAATGTGAATCCAACAGAATGGGAAAACCATACATTTAAGCTTTAGGAACCATTTTTTTCTCTATATATTAACATTTTTCTCAAATAGATACATGGGAAAAAATGAGGTAACTGTAAAATATGCAAGGAACAGGGCTCCCTAAAATACACACACACACACCACACACACCATACACCACACACCACACACACACCACACAGAACACACATACACGCTCTCCACACACACCACACACCACACACACACACACCAAACACACACACCCCACACAAAACACACATACATACACACATACCACACACACACCACACACACCACACACACCACACACATACACCACACACACAGAACACACACACACACCACATACACATACACACACACCACACACACAGCAACACACACCACACACAGAACACACACACCACACACACACATAAACACACACCACACACA